TTTGATGAGATCACCAATACAACTAGTAGTACAGCAATTCATTTGATGTATACTGAACATGTAATAAATTATAAAACTTGACATCAAATACCATCCTTTAATACCCAAAAAAGTTTTGACTTCATCAGGGGAAGAAACAAACTACGCCTACCACCATTTGTAGTTTGTTTCTTCCCCTGATGAAGTCAACAAAATTTTGACAAAAAGTTTGGTATTAAAGGATGGTATTTGATGTCAAGTTTTATAATTTATTACACCAAGATTGTGAAAGTGTCACATACATAGGGTCCAACTTGATGTTTGTAAGGTTGCAGGTTCTGTTTTAAATTGCTCAAGCTATAGTCAAGCAAAGATATTTGTGCATTTATCTTGGATTGATTTGTTATATTCTTTGATTTGGTGTATCAGTTTTAACAATGCAAAATAAAGCCAAGGTATGGGCATGGCCCAGATATGTGCAGTTGTTGCTTTTTTTAGGAAGCTGAAAACAAGAGATAAAAAAAAACAAAGTATACTTACAATTTTTAAGCCTCCCATTGTTATTTCCTGTCCATGACAGGCCATGTTTTTTATTTATACCTGAAAGATAGAAAATAGACTGTCATTTGTCAAAATGGCAATAAAATATGGGAGAAATTACTCAAAATAATCACTGTATCTTGTTACATTCATAATTGATAACTAACTATCTGTCCTGTTTTGTTTTCACTCCTGATTAAAAATTCAGAGAGACAACATTGTGCTATGTACACTGGGGAACAACATTCAATAGTCTTACAGCTCCTACTACTTGTATCACTGGCACTCAGTTGCAGAATAGCTTGAGATAATTTCCTTGATGAGCATTGAGGTTTTCAAACAATTATTCAATCCAGTTAATCATGTTGTACCAAAATCTGATAAAATTTACATTTAGCTTTTGGCAAATATATCATAGTTTATAATATAGCTTCAATTCCTTTTTATTCCACCTGAGAATAAAGTGCACTGTTAATGTTATGAATTGTCCTTGGATTAGCAAAATATCTAAAACAAATATGTGACAAATGTATGATATTAACATAGTAAGTTAGTTAGTTAGTCAGAAATATATCTGAAAGCATTAACAGTTCTATAATAAAGTTATAAAATTGTAATATGCTAGTAGTTAAGTAAAATTTGATCTCTACCATTGAAGTCCATATTTTCAGGAAAACTAGATCAAAGTACAAATTATACCACTTTTGCCAAAAACATTTGGCCAGCAATGAAATAGTAGTTCAAATGATATGGTGAGTTTTTCTGATCTTTATCTTTTCAACCCATAACACTATTGCACAAGCTTCTATCTATTTTTACTATATCTTGTTAAATGCGGAGAGGAGTTACATAGGCATCTGCCTGTTCTCCAATCCTTTTTCTATACCAAATGAAATATTGTTTACAAAAAAAAGAAACATCTTGTAAAATGAAATTATTACAAAAAAAAACTGTTTTCAAATGAGTTAGTTTCCACACCTAAACTTTGAGTCACTCGACTAATATTATAACTGTATCAAGATTTTTGTTGGTGAAGAATTTATGATAATAAATTGTGTGAAAGAGATTTTATTTTTTCAGATATACACCGAAATGTATAACATTATCCATAAATAGAAACAAAAACCTACTGCAATCTCCATAAAAACCATTAGAAACATAGTACTGATATTCCTGTGATGTAATATAACCACAATACTCAACAGATTGGCAAGATGGTGTATTCCTGTACATTTCCTGAATGTAATGTTACTTAATAAACATCATTAGAAAAAAATCAAAATTTCCAGACATCCAAAAATCACAGCAAAAAAAATATACTGTAGTCAGGTTGGTCAAATCATGAAAAATATCCAGCTAACATTAAAATTCTAATGAAATTCATTGGATTACAGATAGACCTTTTCACTTCTGCTAAAAAATGACCTATCAAAGGGGAGGTAACCTTCAAAAAAAGCTATTTTAGTCTGTTAATTAATCAGGCTTAACATCTCAATGACAGAAGTGGGGAATTACAATGACTTGAGATGTAAAAAACACCAGTCGGCAGGTCTGGGAAAAAAATAGTGTTTGTTTGTTAATTGGTTGACTCATTCAAGGTAGCTGAGAATGAATTACCAAACAAGTAGGTTAAAACTAACCACAATGTAAATCATTTACACTTGCAAGTTGTAGTAGGTTTAAAGAATAGTTTTCAATGATTTTAATGTACAAAAATGTTCACATAATATTGTACTGTTCACACCCTTATACAAATATATCTAAATGTAGAAAAATGAACTAAACTTATTAAAAGATAAAATGAAATCAGTAGCTTCAATTATAGATTATTAGTAACAATCTACTCAAGTTCATTTTCAAAATATCACGCTATTGCAAACCTTGTCTGATACCTTGACTGCAATAGCCACCTTTCTTGTATCACAAAATGGCTTATTGTTAACAGTCTTTCTGTCAAGGACTCTGATTGCCTGTATTTGCTAACATAAAATCAAAATTTCTCCTTGTGATCTGTTTTTATTGACAAGTCAAGAGTAATTAATTATGTTAATGAATTACCAATATCAATTAGTATCAGTATAATATTGGTGGTATGTCAAGTATACAGCAGGTCATTCATTGATGTTGTTTATTCATTAGAATATTAGTCCATCTGGTGCCAGAACTACTTGATATAGGAATGTAGTATTGGTTATGAACTATTTCCTCTATAACTCAGTTAATATCAAAACTTTAATGAGATATATGATATTAGTATTAATATATGAATACACCTACGTATATTGAGAAGTTATGAAAGGATGGGATTGTTTTTATCAAATATTACAAATTTCAAGGACGGATTGTTTATGTAAATTTTAAAAGAATAATTCAAATTTTTTTACCTATTTGTATCATAAATACATGAAAAATCCATCAATTAGATAAGGACCAAAATTCACAGTTGTACAATAAGGAGTGCCAATCTGACATTTTGTAAAAATAACACTGTTCTGAAAAATCATCAGTTTGCTATGATACTTAAATGAATTCTATGGTATATGAACAGGTTAAATGAAACATTTCATTGAAAATTGTAAGAAATATATCCAATTGGACATTACCCACAAAATCATCAAAATAGCACCAATTTGGAGATGGGTCTTACAGATTATATGAACAACATCATTGTTCTACTGGCAAATGCATTTACTTCAATTCAAATAACATGGAAATGTCTTTGATAAGCTGTTTGAATTGAAAACTACATCAAAAAGAGTACTTTACATTAAAGGGATTGTGAAAAGGGACACTGATGGCATCAATTCGCACCATTCCAATTTTCAGCAAATCCACTAAAACTAAGTGTTTGATGATGTCACTAATGCTTCTATTACATAAGGCTTCATCAAACACTTAGTTTGAGTGGAATTGCAGGAACCACAGACATCTGATTGAAAATTGGAATGGTGCAAATTTGATTCTATCAGTGTATCCGATACACAACAAAATTTAGAAAACATCTTTACAATCCCTTGAATACAATAACAAAATATTTTCACTGTTGAATCAGTCAAAAATAATCATGCTACAAACCACTTTGTTTCACCATTCCATTATTCATTTACACTATCCTGAAAATCACTATTCTATGACTAAATCAACAGTTTATAAACGATATGTCATTTGCACGTTTACTTTTTTCATTTACAAGTAAAACTATTTAGATCACACTGGAACAGCTTACAGCTGTAAAGTTTTATATATATCTAAATGAAATAAGATATCAACACTTTGCCAGCTATGAATTTCAAATTTCAAGATTAAGTGCATATGTAAATAAGGACAATTTTGACAGCTATTAATTCAAAATCCTCCAAGATTATCCATTGAAACTTCACTAAATAAATAAATATGTTAATGAAGAAACATACACAATTTAGCCAGTTTGAAATTTCAAATTCTATTCAAGATAATATATTAATGATTCTGAATGCCAGCAAATATGTTATTGAAGTATCATCCACATATTTTTAAGTTTATAATTTAAAATCCATTTAAATTGAAGATTAAGCAGCATAATGCACGTCAAAATGTGATCATCAAGGAACATCCACTTCAAGCTATGAAGTTGAAATCCATACAAATTAAAGATTATGCTTATGCCAGCATCATTTCAAATCCATTCAAATCGAAAATTCATCAACACAAATATTTCAGACACCTGAAACTACAGGCACAGATCAGTTACTGTCAGTATAGTGAATGTTTTTCTACTTTCGAATCACTTGAAAATTGATTAATTAGCACCATGGAGAGTTCACACTGTTTCCTATTGTGAAAATATTCCCAGAGGTCAAATGCTATCAGGCACAATGTCCAAACCATATGCACGAACATGAAGAAATATCATTATGACTTAATTGTATATGTGCAGTGAATATATATATTTGGCGTCTGATATACACAAGTTCATATTAACCATCAAAATACTAATGTTAATTAAGCGAGAACTAATCACTCATTAGTCTTTAATCATAGTACCATAATCTTAATTACAAACCAATCAACAACAGTACTGAATTACTTTTTCAGGTTGCAAACATCATGTTTCTGTCAACACAGGTCAAGCCAGAATTGGTCATTGGTATTTGAGAATCAGACTGTTTCTAATGTCGTTCATAAAACAAGAATGACTATTTGTATTGAAAAAAAAGACTTTAAAATCAGAACATGCTTTTTTAACAATTGGAGTAATGATTTAGCCCAAAATATTCCAGCCAACTCCACCGAAAATTGTTTCTGATGTTCACAAATATAAAATTTAAAAAAACTTATATGTCAAAGGTATTGAAATATTCAGAAGTATGTCAGAACAAGCTGTGAAAGGTTGTAATAATGGTAATAGAATCATAATAAAATAGAAGTCCTACTGGCCATGACTGGTAGCATATGGTTGATATTGATTACAAAACAACTTACTATGGTTTTTATTATTAGGCCTACAATACAACAGCACTGATGCATTTTTGGGCAAGACATCTTTCAACTGGAATAATAGAAACATACCCTATTTGAGTTATTTTTGTTATCCTGCAAGTGCTGTGGTGAAAGTGGTGAAATACAGGCCCCTGCCACTACACCTGAGCCAATGCCTTTATTAAACTAACTTTCCTTTCAGAGAGTCAACTTAGCTTATATTTTTTTTTCTGTATTTTTCTACGAATTTCAATGGAATATAGAGGAGGAGGTTTGGTGTCTGGAGTGCTATGTAGGATTAATTAATATTAAGTAAAATGTGTCTGGACCATACCTTCTTTATACATAGATAAAAGATCTTTGAAGTTAAGAAGCTCTCAATTCTTTCATCTTTGGATTTGAACATAATATCCTTAAATGTGTTCCTATAGACTATAATCCACTACCATTCTAACAGAATAGCACAGTTTCATTCACTGAAGAAATAAACAACTTCCATAATTTAGAACCACCTGTAAGTCATTAGAAATATGGTCAGGAAATACAGTGTCTGACACCCTTGGTGAAATAATGATTACGTATATATTTGGTACTCAAACACTAGTAGAAAATCTAGAGTTAAATGAGAAATGTAAAGTCACAACCTAATTCTGACAGATTTTGATTTTGAAATTTTGATTGTAATAATGCTAGCTGTATTCAATAACACATAAACATGATGAAATTGGTTTACCATATAGTGTGGCCAATTTACACATTCATAAGATGAAGCAATTTCACTTTACCTCACTATTTCAATAAATATTTGATTGTCACATGTCCCAATCACAAAGACACCTGTTTGGTTCAATATTGAGTTATCTACCTTTAAATGGTTTTCAATGTAAAAGAATACTTAATGAGCCATCTTAAGATATAGTTGTTCAGTTACATTTGCATACATAACAGTCTACAGTCAGAACAGTCTACAGATGTAAATAGACAATGTGGCCAGTGTATGGTGCAAGATTATTGATACAGTGCAAAACAACTGATTCAGATATTCTCTTTTACTATTTTCATTAAATTGGTACTTCTTCGTTATACATGTTACCTGGTTTATTTGCATCTTATACATGATATGAATTGAATGTGACATTGAAGCGAAAAACATCCCCAATTTTATAAATGAGCTCTTCCAAACATACACATACAGTTTATATTGATAAAAACAAGCATGTGTGGAAAAGTTCTATAAAAAGTTGAGGGGTGTCAAATAGATGACTAGCTCACTATATCACTTTATCCAGACTTGCTAAATAAGTAATATTATTAAGTCACAGTTATCAAGAACTTTCAGAAACAGATGAAACTCACCATCAGTATTTTCTTTCTCAAGTAACTCCAGTCTGTACTGATTATTTTTACGTAGCCATTGAACAACGAATGATTCTTGTTTATACGAGTAGGCAGAATTATCCATAACCTGAGCCTCAATATCATTTGTTAATGATTGTTTTTTATACCGGGAACAGTTTCCTACCACCATAATTCCAAATACCCTTGAAAAAATAGTTCCGCTGAAAAACACATTTTAGGCAGTATGCATACTCTTAATAAACACCAAATATTTTTGACTGAAACCTTGTCTGTTAGATGTCGTTCATCAAAAAGATTTGTCCACTTGTTGGATACTTGCTAGCACTTAACTTGCTTTTTTGGGAAAATGTATAAGAGTTACGCTAGTTTCATTTACCCAATGACAAAATTCTAAAATTTGGTGCCAATTATAAAGTTTAAATATTCGAAATAGAAAGAAAACTTGCCCTCAAAATAACTTTCGAACAACATAGACATATCTTATACAATAAGCAGTGAAACATGCATGATGGTGTGCTTTAAGCCATCCTTGTAATTTTTGAATGATACAAAAATAGAACTAATTATAAAACCTTGAGCAAACTATTCAAGCAATTATTGTCATTTTTCTACACTAAAATTCATTGACAGCTCACTAATGTCCTAATATGCTAGCAAGTTGGACTTTGGCATGAGTCAAGCAGTTTTCAACACTGTTAAGTCACAAGGTATGCTGAAAACAAGACAGAAGCTGACCAGATAAGCAATAAAAGCATTAACCTCAGTCAACATGTAACCTGCACCATCACTATCCCAAATACCCCCAATTGATTCATTACTTTTACCTCCAACCATAACCACTACCAAACAAGTTAGCAATGGAGTACTAGAACAGCACAAATCAAGCACAGAAACTATGACATCAGAAAAACTAATAATCCTGAATTTAGAGAATTGGAATACTCAGACGCAATAAAAATATCCAGAGATGCACAAATTCAGCATTGAGTTTTCAAAAGGCTGCAGCATTCAAAATGAAAAGAGCAAGTGAGAAATGTAACGAATGTTCATAACACCATAAGTTATTTCAAATTTGTTTTTCAACAAAAATCACTTGGCTTTGTTAGTCCTGTTAACACAATCCTACGAAAATATTTCAAATACGATAGCATGAATCTTTTAACTCAAATTGCAAAAAAGGACTACAAAGGATAATTGGTTCAAGTAAAGTCACATGTTGTGCTGACAATGGTGGTGTATGGGTAACATGTTTCGTAATCAAAGTTTGATTGTTTTCATTGTTAGACGCTAATAGATTTGACACTTCTATTTCAATGTTAGACTCCAGTGTAGGAAAACATCAGACCTAGAACATTTGTAGACATTTTCAACAGAAAATAAACTGAATCCTTTTCTTATGTTCTTCTAGCCAACATGACCGAACACAATGTTGATAATGGAAGCCATAGATAAACATTTGATATAAAACATTTGTATCTATAAACCTTAACTATCATTGCCCTACAAAACATAGGCATAAAAGCAATCAATAAGATTGAAAGCAAGTTTTACTTTCTAATTTTGTTATTTTACAGGGTAATGAAGAAGGAAAGATTGACAGTTTTTCGGACAAGATTGAGCAGGAAGTAAACTGCTTGAACCAGAGGCCTGAATTTTTGACACAGACCATTTTCACAGATCCCAAGTCATGACTTCTGATTCGACACATTGATTCATTAATATAAAATACTTTTAAAATCAAGCATGAAAAAATGGTACTGTGGCTCAACTTCCGCATTAACCTTGACATTCAATGTTTGATCCTGGCATTGGTCAATGATGTTAAAGATGCCAATGTGAACCATTTGAAAAATCCAGTACCCTTCTTGTTAAATTTCTTTGATATCATTTATAATTCAATTCAGCAAAGTGACTGGTAAAATTATCAATTGTGTTCTTATTCTGAAAAGTCTGTATAAAACTTGTATCAACAAAGTATTTAACTTATGGTAAGTTTATTTATAGGATCAGCATAACTTTATTTCAATTTAACATTTCAATAAATACTAACTTGTATACAAGTAATAGAGAGATTAGTTAGTCTCTTTCTATTCAATGGCCAGAAATCCAGTTATCAATTAACATCGGAAAGCATTGGAGATTTCATCTTCCACTGGACTAGCAAGAGCACTTTATATGTTTGCAACAATATGTGGATTAAAAATACCAGAATGATTGACAGGATGATTGAGTCATCAACGAATATTCAAATATAGGGTATACTCCAAGAAATGTTGCATGTGTCCCTTTAATGATGAATATCAAGACACAGACAGATATTTAGGAGCTGTTTCAAAAAAGTTGTCTCCTTGCTAACCCATCAGCTTTCATTTGTAAGCTACATTTGGCTTTATCAAACCACAGGTCAAAATACAAATGTCAAAGCCTACTATACTACTTTAATACAGTTTATATAAACTAACAATATTTTTTCAAAAACTTTTCCCAGTATTTACATTAGTATAAAATAATTTTTTTGAAATAATCTCTTGTATATTAAAGTTTAGATCTTGTGATTATACCAAAAGCAAAATGACCTTTATCAATATATGATTCAATTTCTATTGTACTTGGTTGAAGACAGTTATACCCTGAACCCAAAAGGTTAATGTAGGTATTTCTAGTAAAGACATCCATACTTTTATTTTTAAGCTGATAATCTAGTCTCAATAATATTCTGTGTGTGCAAGCTTCAAGGATCATTTAAGACTAAACCAAAATATAAATTAATAAATAAAAAAACAAGGTGACAACAATGAAGAATATCTAAACTTACCTCTATATGTTGAACATATTGAATTTGATCTCCAACATCTTGTTAACGATTTCCTTAATCCTTGTTTAGAACTCACAACTTTTTTACGATATCGGTTCCCTTCAGTCATATTTTTTATACTTGTTGTACGATCATAATACCTAAGGCCAACCAGAGGCGTTTTGGAAAAATCAAAAGATGATTCATTCATTGTCTATTTTAGTTTTTCAATCTCATTAACACAAAATATCTGCCATTTTTTTTTTTCAAAAAATTACAAATGTCATTTCAGATAATTTCATTTCACATTTAAGATGAAAATTCATTTATGTATGAATCTACAGGAATCCTGTAAGACAGCAAATTTTTCAGTATATTCTAGTTGGGGATAAATTGCACAATGTTATATTCACATCAGAATACAATCCAAATTTCAATTTTACACTTCACCAATTCTGCTGTGAATGTTTTTGCACCGTATATCCAAAATGTCAGACAAGAATGTATGTTGCATAAAGTTGTCCCACCCAAATATTTGTCCTTTTAAATTAGTTTTAAACTATAATATAACTCACACTCACTAGAAGTTAAGTCACTGTTAATCCCGGCTTAGATCTGTTCACTATAAAATAATGGGATCTTAATCCTTCAGACTGTTAATTTCACTTGGGGTCTGTGACCAAAACTCATTAAAATCTTATAGATAATGACCACATTTTACACTGACTGACTGACTGTAACAAAACATTGCCAAAATAAAACCATTTCAAAAATCAGAACAGATCTCTAAGTTCTCTTCCTCAAAACTGTGTGGTCAGTGAAATATAGTTCCAGACAGGCCCTCATTTCATCTTCCTGGTAGACGTTGTCCTTTGTTAAGCAGAAATTCTTTTTTTTGATAATACCCAAACAAAGATTATTATTCTATTATAATTTCGGCTAATTTAGAAAAAATCAGATGACTAAGGAGTCATATGTAATCATACAATATTGAGATGTGATACAGTTTAAATTGAATCTGAAGCATATCAAGAAACCTTCAATGCTTTATATCTTTTGGTTTTTAGTGTGGTATTGGGGTGAACATTAATACTTTGACTTACAGGTCATTGCATTGAAATAATGCTGGTTTAAAGATCAGTAATGTAATCAGACACAATAATTGTACATGTAATACGATTTAAAACTGTTGTCTAGAACAAAGGTCAGTAAAGAAAAGAAAACCATTTCACAATTGCACATCAATTTTCACTTGGTGTCGTCTGTTACATTCTTATATTATACTTAAAAAGCAAAGCTGCATCATTTTTCAGTACACAAATAAGAATGATTTTACAGAGTTATCCCATTTTTCTAAACCTTTTAATACATTAATAAGAACACTTGAAAACCTTGAGAACACTTCAAATTCTATGTAATGACATGTTACTGAAAATATATGTGCCACTATCCAAAGACACCCAGTTAAGTTTCACTACATCTTGATAATCTTCCATGTAATAATTGCCATAAACAACATTTTTAAGTGAAAAATTAATTCTTTGACAAGGTATAAAAACAAGTCCTTTGAATAACATGAGTCATTACATGAATCTTTTCAAATCTGCTTTACCAACCCCCAAGAAACAGTGATATACATTAGAAGCAGTCATTAAAAGATGATGTCATGCTAAATCTTAGACTTCAGCTTTCAGGGTTCAGGGTACAAATTCTTACACTTATATAACTTTCCTTTCAAAAAAATTAACAACAGCAAATTCACTCAATGCAGTTTAAATAATTTCACATTATAGCAAATCTTCCAACATATCTGCTAACAGAAGCAAATCCCAAAATGATGAAACAACAAAACGCAACAAACGTATTAAGAAAAAAGTCACTAACAAACATAAAAATTCTAACTCATTAGAACTTAAAAGTGTCAAACTAACTAGACTCAATTCTTGACCTTCAAGTGAACGAAAATATCTTTAAGAAAATCTAATGTTAAAAAAACTATTTCAACACTTGTAAACTAAGACTAGAGGTTTTTTTTAATCTTGTATGAATAAATGAAACACTCTAATTTGACTTTTAATTACTGTTTTGGAGAAACTTTTATAATACTGTACAATATATTTTCTATTAGTACACAATGATCTAAGGCATTATTACACTATTTACAAATCCTTTATTACATGTACAAATCCTTTATTACATGTACAAATCCTATGTAACAAGATGAACACATCCTTTACTACACAATGTACAGATCCTTTTTACACAATGAACAAATCCATTATTAATGAAGAGAACAGTTCATATTTAAACAATGATAAAATCCATTTTACACTATGAACAGATCCTTTATTATATAATGAACAAATCCTTTATTACACAATGAACAGATCATTTATTGTATAATCAACAGATCCTTTATTATACAATGAACAGATCCTTTCTTATACAATGAACAGATCCTTTATTGCACATTGAACAGATCCTTTATTATATAATCAACAAATCCTTTATTACACAATGAAAAAATCCTTCATTACACAATTAACAGATCCTAGATTATACAACGTACAGCTCCTTTATTACACAATGAACAGATCCTAGATTATACAACGTACAGCTCCTTTATTATACAATGAACAGATCCTTTATTATACAATGAACAGACCCTTTATTGCACATTGAACAGATCCTTTATTATATAATCAACAAATCCTTTATTACACAATGAAAAAATCCTTTATTACACAATGAACAGATCCTAGATTATACAACGTACAGCTCCTTTATTATACAATGAAGAGATCCTTTATTACATAATGAAAAGATCCTTTGATACACAACAGAACAGTTCTTACATAAAAAAGACAAATCCATTATAAAAAAAGGACAAATGACAAATAGATCTTAATTACAAAATATAATTCAGGTCATTAGAAATTTTTTAATTAGACAAAATTGTGATTTATGATTTGTTTATTTTTGATTGATCAATCTGTCCTAAGGTTATACAATATTATTTTGACAAAAGTTGTTAAGTTTCTTCATTGAACTTTCAGCAATATTTTAAAAGACATAACAATATTTGTTCAAACTCAGGATAACAGATGACAAAAGCAACATATTGAAAGTCAAAGCATAAGAAATAAAAATACTTAAGAGCCACTAATACTCAACAAAACCTTATACTGACAATCTAGTTCATTTTTAACTTGCAGCAACTTCCACTTTTTAATCGTCACCCTAGATAGTCTAATTTACACATCTTTAACAGATTAACTATTTGACGAGAGATTAAAGCCTGGATTAGCTGGGATTAAACACAAGTTTAAATCCTCAGGTTTAACATGAAGCTCTGAGGTTAACAGACTCCCGTTTCCGTGGTATTTGGAATATTGCATTAGTCTGTTTATCTTTTGGAAGAAGTTAAATCTTTTTCAAATCCACCAGTTCAAAAACACTTTTGATGGTTAAAATAGAAATCACTTTGTGGAAAATAAAACACAGTAACAAAAGTATCTCCTCATTGTATTATACACCTGGGCAAAAAAACGTGATATTTTTCTATCTTGGTTCTGAAAATTTAGAATCCTAATTCCCAACAAGGCGACAACCCTGTGATCTCAAGTGTAATGAGCATTTGATAAAATTTGTTTTAATTCACAAATATGATCCAGTCCATGAAGGCACAAAAATCTCTCTCAAACTAAAACACTTATAGTAGGTCTAAGACCAACAATCCATATCATAATAACAAAACACAGTAATGATGAGGTCTCATTAAAAAAATCCTTGAGGTTTCAAGATTTGATTATTCCAGAAGAAACATTGAAAATCACTAGTACATAGTCTTGATGTCAGATTTCAAGAATTAGAATAAATTCATCCGAGTATTCAAATATTCATTACATTCCAAGATTTCTGTAAATTAGTCAACTAAACTGAAACAGCAAAAAATGCTAACAGTCAACATATAGAATTAAGACACTAATTTAATTATCAAGCAGGTTTTAAATGTACAACACATTAAATTCATTTCAAATGCACCAACACAAAAGATAGCTGCAATGAGTGTTTACTAACAAATAACCTTCAAACGACACTTAATCCTTACTCATTAGATATGCAACATGTATCTTCCTTGTATTTACCTTGCTGACTTAATTAATACCCAATTAACCATCAAATTAACCTGCAAGCATCCCACAAATATGACAACTATTTCACTAGAAAAAATCTTATTTACATTCAGTTGTAAATCTGGTGCATTGTTGACATCAAAGACTTTAATCAAACATTAATTAAAAAGCTGAAGATGAAGGTATTATCAATTAATTATTATTCTTCATTTCTTGTACCACAAGCACTGTAAGTTTGTTATTTAAATGCAAGGCACCTTTAAATATGATATTTACAAGTACAATTGAAGTCATTTTTAAATATGATATTTACAAGTACAATTGAAGTCATTTTTAAATATGATATTTACAAGTACAATTGAAGTCATTTTTAAATATGATATTTACAAGTACAATTGAAGTCATTTTTAAATTCAATATTTACAAGTACAATTGAAGTCATCTTCAAATTTGATATTTACAAGTACAATTGAAGTCATTTTTAAATATGATATTTACAAGTACAATTGAAGTCATTTTTAAATTTGAAATTTACAAGTACAATTGAAGTCATTTCTAAATATGATATATACAAGTACAATTGAAGTCATCTTCAAATTTTATATTTACAGGTACAATTGAAGTCATTTTTAAATTTGATATTTACAATTACAGTTTAAGTCATCTTTAAATTTGTTATTTACAAGTACAATTGAAGTCATTTTTAAATTTGATATTTACAGGTACAATTGAAGTCATTTTTAAATTCAATATTTACAAGTACATTGAAGTCATCTTCAAATTTTATATTTACAGGTACAATTGAAGTCATTTTTAAATTTGATATTTACAATTACAGTTTAAGTCATCTTTAAATTTGTTATTTACAAGTACAATTGAAGTCATTTTTAAATTTGATATTTACAGGTACAATTGAAGTCATTTTTAAATTCAATATTTACAAGTACAATTGAAGTCATTTCTAAATATGATATTTACAAGTACAATTGAAGTC